GATTACTTGAACTACTACCAACTGGTCGGTTGACTTCGGAAAGTAGGTCTTTTACAAGATCATCGAGTTGATCAACATCGGATCGGAGTTTGCTTGACTGTGGCATAGACATGGTTTCGTTTGGAGGGTTGAATGAGATCGGCAGCGAAATGCCGCCGTCGTTGATTTTACTGATACCGATGTTGCTAGTAGGTAAGAAAGTAGGAGATACAGTGGATGTCGACGGAGAAAAAGAAGACGATGAGGTACTAGTTATTTGTACAGGCAAACGAGTAGTCGTTCGAGTTGCTTGGGATGGAGAGAAAGAAAGAGAGGAAGAAAAAAGAGTAGCCGGCGTAGCAGTAGTCGTTGTATTAGTGGCGTTGTTAGAATGATTGACTTGCACGTTTTTGTACATAACCTAAAAGAGAAGAGAAAAAGAAAGAATAGAATCAAAGAATAACATTACTAATGTGCTGGTGCCACTACAGCATTCATTAGAGAACGTGAAACGCGAAGAAGAAGAAGAAGAAGAAGAAGAAGAAGAAGGAATGTAAAAAAGGAGCGACAGAGAGAACGAAAGAAAGACTACTATTTCTCGTGAAAGAAGACGGACAGTAGGACTAGTTAGATTTATTCTTCTATCTTTCTTTAGTAGTACCATTCCTGTTGTAATACGCGTTCTCTTTTTCTCTTTCTCTTTTTGTTCTTTTCTTGTTACATATATATATATATGCGTGTGTATGTATGCTTAGAGATTTTTACGTAACCCTTCCTCATCTCTCTTCATGGTATTCAGACGAGGGCGCTGTCGGTTCGTCCACTGCTTCAGTAGTCGTCTACACAATGGCATCAACGACTTGTACTCAGTTCGTCCGTTCGCTATCATGCTGCATTACTCTATCTAACATATACTTGCATGTATATGGTGACGTGGAAGAGAGAAAGAAGAGTAAAAAAAAGAATTACTGCCATAGTTCGCATGTATAGACTCATAGAGATATATATATATATACATAAATGTATACATATAAGCAATAAATCGGCTTAGAAAAGTTTGATAAAGCCGAAAGAGTAAGCAGAAGATGAACATATATCATTCTGAATATCAGATATGATTAGAAATAGATAATGTTAATATAGGTCCTAAAAACGAGACTATGTCATGAAGTATTTAGATAACTTATTCGAAGAGAAAACAGAGATGTACTATGACCTTTTGGAAAACTTCTAATATCTCTAACAATGCACCTATAATAATATTAATCCAAGTGCTGAAAGAATATGTATCGTTGATAGTTTGATTTATATATATGTGTATATGTACATACCAATCAAACGATGATCAAGCCATCGTCGAGTGTTATACACATAAGTGCAGGTCAACTGTTGGGTTATTATACTTTTGTCAACGGATAGCAGCAGTTAACGTCGTTGCCGTCAAAATTCATTCATCTGAAAACAAAAGTCAGCGTTGAAGAAAGACATGAATAGAATGAAGATGAAGAAAGTAATCAATGCAAAAAAGACATTACAGACAAAGGACAATCACGAACAAAGAAGAAAATAAAAACGATTGATACGTGGTTTACTTGATTAGAAGCGTAACAATCTTCTTTTCTGGTATTAGTTAAAGACAAAAGCCATCTGTGCACGAATATATCTAATAGAATTTTCTTTAATGACTACGGACAGCATCGAGAAGAGAAAGAATATTGAAAAACAATAAGCAAAAATAATCGAACGATAGTAGATGTTGACGAGTGTTGAAAAGTCAAGATCTTTTCTTTCTTTTCAATAGAATTCAATCGTTTTCATTCAAAATACACTATTACGAAGCGAAAAAGAAAACAAAGCACGCAGAGTAGATATTGAACAGATATATTTCTAAGACAATTAGCATACCTTGTCGATCTTCAATAGTTGCTCATCAATCATATTTCTCACACTATTTTTACTGCAGTCTTTCTCCCTTTTTTTGTCTATTCATGAGACAAAACCCAATAGAGAAATTCGCCCGTACACGCGTTATATACGGTGATCACCATCACGCGTGTTGTCTCATCTTTCGATCACGACTCAATTTCATTTTTCTCTCATTCTCTCATATGTATAAATCCATATCAAACACACGACCGTCTATGGTGTTCAGTTGAGCAGTAAAGAACTCGTAGGAAAAAATATACGTGTGAGAGAACGATGTATGGCCCACTGCCAAGCAATATAAATATATATATATATACACACATATACTACTTAACATTTTTTTCTTCTCTTACTTTGTCTCTCTCTCTCTATGTGCATACGTATATGCGTGCACGATGAACTCATTCGACGTGGGACAGAGAAAAAAAAAGAGTGCACCCTGACCGAGTAGCTCGCTCTCTTTCTACAATGTTGTTGTTGATGATGACGATGATGATGATGATGAAAGGATGATGGCGATAGCAGTGGCCAAATAGAAAGAACAACTCAGTTAGCCTGATGCAAAATCAACAAAAGGACTGATTCACTGTTTACATGTACATTATGTTGTTCAAGAAGAACACGAAGACGGAGAAGTAGTAGTAGTCGGATGCATAAATGTTATACTAGACCTTCTTCGAACCATCATCATCATCACAAGAAGAAAAATCAGCAAAATAGATTGATAACAGCAGTAGTAGGAAATCTTCTATAGTTCAGGGTTTTTTATCTATATATCATTCATCTGAACGTAGTTATGCTCGATCAGAACCAACGAGACTATTCTATATACACACCTGGCAAAGATTAATGGTGAACAAAAGAGAGAGAGAGATATCGATATCATCAATAGCTGTACGTGAATAAATACAGATTTTGATATATCAACAATCAAGGGTAAAACAGTGTTAACGACAAAAACAACAAGACGAATCAATGATACATGTGTATACATCTATTTATACTTTGTACATGTTAAGTGTTCGATGCACATTTTAATGAAAAGAGAGAAAAATTTACTTGTGATAAAAATCAGATAATATAAATTTATTCATATATTGTCAACATATATATATATATATATTCGATCGACGCCCCAGCTTTGCTATCTATCTCTCTTTCTCTCATCTTCTATCATCTATATAAATATCGTTTTCGTGCTATGTTCTCATCACCCTTTGGGCATGTTCAACACCACGACAACGAGAGACAAAAGGTCACATACATGATAAGCTTGCGTAAGCATCTGCGCGAACGTTCGTTGATCAAGGCAATATTGTTGTTTCAACAACGACAAGTCGACAGCGAGTGATTACCAATCGGTTGATTAGAGTGAGAATTAGAACAACCCAATAACAATAATGATCATCCTCGGGCAGCATCTATCCAGCTGAACAAATTTGTCTTCATATTTATTGTGAGGCGGGATTGAGAGGAGACGAGAAAACGTACTGCATACAAGCATTTTTTCATACCACCAAGAAGAAGAAGAAGCCGTCGACATGTCTGTTGATCGAATATCAAATGGCATTCATATGTAAATATGCATGTATATGTATACACATACGTATATACATGAACACAGATCAAACGAAGGGAACACAAAACTGTACATTCATCTGAAAGAAAGAAAAAGCAAACTATGATGTAGGAAAAAAGCGTAGTAGTAAGCTTGAATATTTTTATTGCTTTTTCAAATAGTTCCCTTAACTAGCTTTTTAAAATATCATTCGTTAACGTATCATAATTCTTAGTTAAACCGAGTATATCTGGGTAGATCCATTGACAACCTGATTCACGTAATAGCTTCTCTTCAAAACCACCACAGAGAACACCGGCTATTTTCAATTTTGCCGCTAGAGCAGCTAAACTCAAAAATATAATGAATTAATTCTGAAAAATAATCAATCATTCGATTTGAATCTACCTTGTGCATCCCATGGCGTATCGCCAATAACAACAACTCGATCATTTCTAGCGTTTTTCAGCAATTTCATTGCAGCTAAGAAGATATCTAAAAATTCCAGAGTTAGATCTTGATCTTGAAGATCTCATTGTTCATCTTACCAGGATAAGGTTTAGATCGTTTTACATCCTTCGAATTTGAACTTGTTTGACAGTCAACTAGATCACTAACTTTGGCGATGTCCTTATAAAGTTCTAATTCATCCTGTTGTGCTGACGATGCCAGAGCAATACGGACATTGCGTTTTTTAATCATTTCAAACAATTCTCGAACACCTGGAAATGGTCGAACCTTTTCCAAATAGTTATCTTGAAATAATCGAGCTTTCCGAGCTTTGATCTCTTCTGCGTACTTCTTAATTTGCTCTTCGGTTGCAAACACAGGCAACAACTGGTCAGCAGCTTTACCAATTTGCATACGAACATCAGGTAGGTTGCACTTGATATTGTAATGCTGTAATGCGTCGTACCAAGACTTAGCATGGTAATCAACAGTATCGATTAGTGTACCATCCACATCGAAGATGACAGCATCAAGTTCACGTCGTTTTGTTGAATAATAACGAATTGATGTAAATACCTAAAGAAGATTAGTTGAAAAAGGATATGGAGTCGGCAAAACGAATGAAAAAGACAGGTACTTGAGGATGAACGATTGATGAAACGCGAGATCGAAGCATTTTTGAAAATGATGGATTAAGCTAAGCTTGAAAAAGTAAACCGTATGACTCATCGATGAATTCCTATTGGAGAGTTCTGGACAAATCAATGTTTGATAGGTTTTTGATTAGTATATATTTATCGATCAAAATATGCAGTCGAATTACACAATGAAATGAAATTTAACGGGTTGAAATACCTTTCATAAGAACTCAAGAATTTTTTGTGATATATCATGCAGTATAATCGTTACCAGGACACACACTTCATTGAGGGATTGACAAATAACTCAATCACGAGGTATGGAATGTAAGAAAAAGTGTCTCTAAGTTCTTTTTAATAATCGTCTCGGTTGCCAAACCTATTTTTTTCTTTACTTCAGTGTTCTTTGCTAGATAATTCTGAAATAATTATTCGAAACTCCAGCGTCAATGAGTAAAATCTCTCTTTCACCAATGAATCCAGCTGCTATGGCAAATCTCAATCGAATGACATTTTTAATGGCAATTTCAGAAATAACACCACAAATTTTCATATCAGGTTATTATCTTTCGTCCTGCATTTCTGTTCGTTCACATTCCTCAACTATCACGTTTTCAGGTCAAATGGCAGCAACACTCGAACAAGTTCAACGTCTGGGTATAACTTATATTCTAGTAAATATATTCTCTTCAATAACATCAAACTCTCGAACTGTTTTCTCCTCGTTAAGAATGTGGCCATTGAATCATCACCTATTGTTTATCCCAAACATGTCAAACTCGAGAAATTTGAAATTACCGATTTTCCGACTACACCCATCAGTCATTATTTTCATACATTAACCGATAAAATTCATGCACATCTCAGTGCAAATAAACAGAATAAAGTGCTTGTTCATTGTATGGCTGGCATCAGTCGAAGTAAATCAACAGAAAATGATCATTTCAATGTCGACTATTTCGTTTCTTAGGTACAACTATTGTTTGTGCGTATTTGATGCGGTTTTTGAATTTGTCTTTACGTGAAGCATATTTGTTGTGTAAAAGACATCGGCCGATATGTTTTCCAAACTTAGGATTTTGGAATCAATTAATTTCTTATGAATTTCAATTGAAACGAGAGAATAGTGTTCGAAGTAAGAGTTTGTTTTTGTGTTTTTTTTTCTATATCCAGCTCTATCGAAGCTTATGTACATTCCACCGAAGTGTGAATGACAATATTTGCATAGTCAAATTCGAACGAAAACGTTGTGATGTCTAGTGCTTAAAAGAAACAACGAAAACAATCTTTTTTTTTGCATATCGTGACCGATATTTGATCGTTGTTTGACAATCTGTTTTGAATATCAACCAGTCGACTGGGGCTTATGCATTGTTTATTTTGATATTTAGTGGTTTCAACTCAATTCGGACAGATTCCTGATGTGGCTTACGAAGAAATAAAGCAGCTGTATGACGAAGATCAACAACGGCAACAACCACAGCCAATATCTTTACCGTTCTATGCTCCAACATTTGCAACAAGTAACAATGGCGCGACTCGAAGTCCTGCTGTCAGCACAATTTCAAGTAATAATAGTAATACTAACTTCCCGTCAAATCAAGCACGTTCGAGTCCTCGAGATTTACCGATGAACAATTCTCCTGCGGCAGCGCGATCGCGTTCATTAGCTTCGAATGCAGCCAATCGATCAGCTGTTATTGCTGCGTCGACAAATATCAGTAATCCAGAGTATCAAACACCATTATTCGAAACAAATCGATTTACAAATGCATCCCCGACGCGATACAATCCAATCAGTCGTTCAAGTCCATCGCCTTTGACAATCAATAATTCATCTCCGTCGAGATCGAATGTTTCATCAATATCCTATGCTGGTAATCGTAATCTGCCTATAAGTACGTCACCAAATGTGCGTGGCCGTATGGTTCACCATCAACAATCACTGAATGCGCCAAGTGCAGATCGGAACACATCGTTGATGATTAGAAATAATGGTCAACAACGTTCCAATTATGAAACGACCTATCGGTCAAGTTTTATCAAACCTTTAATTTAATCACGGAAACAAATCAACAAGTCTATTTATTCATTTATATTATTTATCGAACTGTTTATGTTTTGATTAGAAAAGTGAGAATCAGAAAGCTTAGTTCAGAACAATGAGATACGCCTATTGTCACGTCATTTATATTTCTATATATTATTTCCTTTCATATTCTACATTTAATAGGCGTCAGATGACAAATTTCTTATGTTTTATTTCTAATTTCTTTTTTTTTGTTGGAATTGCTTTAAAAATCTCGGTGCGTGTGTCAAAAATGTCAAATGAAAAGAAAATAATAATTATCGATTATATTTATCTATCTATTTTAGACAAGTGTATGTAAATAGCGTTGTAAATTATTTCCAGTACTGAGCATGTTGGGTATAACAGAAGTTATTGAAAATCTTTATATCTCTGGTCTTGAATCTCGTCAAGCAATATTAAATAAAGGTATTCGTTGCGTTATCAACATATCATCCGAATGTCCCGTACAAGATCTCGGCCCGTCAGTTGAATATGAAAAAGTCAGTATACACGATGTGCCAACAACATCTATACATCCGCATTTCGATCGGCTAACCGATCGTATACATCAAAATTTACAACAAGGAAAGAAAACACTTGTTCATTGTTATGTTGGACGGTCAAGATCGGCAACGATTATTCTAGGTACGTTCTAAAATCGTTCTTCGAGCTATTTTTCACTTGAAAATGACTTGTTAATATTTATCTTTCGTAGCTTATTTAATGAAATACAAACAAATGCCATTACGTGATGCATTCCATTATTTACGTTCTCGTCGACATATTATTGGACCGAATTTTGGATTTATTAAACAAGTAATTATCACTTATTCATATATGTTTAACTACATATTGACAATCTCTTTCAGTTAGTTGCATACGAAAAGTCTTTATTTGGTTATACAACCGTTTCGTTTGTGAATACATCATTTGGTGCTGTACCTGACATATATGTGACAACGTCTGCGTCCGCTCCTCGACGACCATTAGCAGCAACAAACACTATACCAGTCCAAAAATCAACAACGACTTCAAATACATTGGCTCGCCCACGATCGACATCAAGACCAGCACTAAGTTTCTCTCCAATCCGTTCGACATTTGCCTACTCATCATCACCTTCCTTAACTATGCAACCACGGCAAACATCATTTCACCAACGGGCAACTGCAAGTGCATCACCGACTCGCTCACCCGCTATATCGAACTATTCTACTAGGTACAATCTTGGAGTCACGAATAGCAATCCTAATAGTACGAGTAATCGTCCGATAACAGCCTCTTCCAATTATCAAATACCGATCAATGTTAGTTATCGAAGTACGTCGTCCATACGACAACCATCTGAGCCGATTCGTATGACTTCTACAATCAACAAGCCATTTGCATTAACGCGTGAATTCTCCATACCAACAAAAATAGTTAATCCAGTACGAAATGTTACCTACGTTCCGTCATCGTATAATCGTTATCATTAGCCATCGATATTAGAAAAACAAACTGACTGCAGATGTATCGGAGAATATTCCATTTTATTTCTCTAATTCGATTTCATTTTGCCAGATAATTATGCTATTCCTTCCTAACAAAACTGAAACAAAATTCTTGCTTTGTCTTTCTTTCATTCTATCTGACACATTCACACATATCCATCTGGTAGATATTTTCTTTTTCTGTTATTATTCTTGTTCAATTCTCTGGGGTGATCTTATTTTCGTTCATAACCGGTGCGTGCTTTTGGTAGTTTTTTTCTTTTTCCCTTTCCATAGCCTGAATGATATTGTTGATCTTTCTAGAATACTCTATCTATTCTGCAAAAATTCGATTCTATTTTATTTTCGAGAAGAATGAATGTTTGTTTTTATTTTCTATTTCGATTTGAATTCAAATAAACTATTATCACGAAATATTCACACGCGCACTTGTATCAGTTGTAGAAATGACACCATGCATGAAACGCGTGTTTCTCCAGGTCACATGGGTTTATTTACATTTCACTACTCTCAATATACTGTGATCATCACGTTTAGATCACTCAAGAAAGAGCATTTATCGAGAGACTGCAAGTTGACTACGATGACTCATCAAGCGAAACTTATGGTTTATGCTTTCGTTCGTTCGTTCGTTCTTTTTCTTCTCTGTATTTTTATTTAGTTTTTTCATCTTGCTATCATAATCGTTCTGCCCAACGAGGGGTATTCTATTTATATGATTAGAATAACGTCGTAATGCATCATTTCATAAACAGCTATGCGTATTTGTACCATATTGACTATTGATTTCTTTGAAAATAGTATTTAATAAAAAGCACCACGATGAGTAAAACTTCGAGCAAGTGGTCTGATCTAGTTCACAAACATACTCGATCATTATCGCGGACATTTGAAAGAGTAAGTTGACTTCTGATAAGATCAGCAGATTTGCTTGTCTTCATTCTTTTTATTATAACCTTAAAAGACATTTCAAAGTATAAGATAGAATGTGTGATAATTATCTCATGCTTTTATTTATCTTGTGACAGGTAATTTTTTTTCCATCAAACATACGTATTCTGTTTGCGAAGAAGGAGAAGAAGAAGAAAGAGATCTCTATTTTCGTTTGTTATTTTCTAGCTTTCATTTCTACATCGAGAAGAACCTGAATCATCACTCTCATCGTCTTTACCCGCAAATTTCGTTATGCAACAGTGTTTATCGAAATGCGAACCAGATGTATCTGTAGATACATTCATCTCACCTAAAGCTTTAGAACCTTGTAAATACTGTTTCGAACAAGTTACATCGCCGGTAATCGCCGATGTTTTCAATACAACTCGTGAGCGATTATGCAGTGACCCCGTCAATGTACCTAATCCATCAATACAACAAGGACAACAACAATCACATTCGACCGGATATGGATCTATGTTTGGAAACGAACTTTCACCAGCGACTGATTATTGGACAATAGGTAAAATCAAGTTGTCATTGAAAGAGAAACGAAGATCATTGTTTTTATTGTTTAGGTATGAATGACTCAACACCACATTCATCAGTAACACAAGAAGATGAAGATCAATCAATTTATGATGGTAGTTCAATTACGGATGGTGGTGACGAAGAATCCAACGATGAAGATGCCAGCGTTGCGACCGACGATGACGACGACGATACATTTGAAGTACTATCATTCAATGCACCACCTGAAAGTACACTTTACATAAAAGGTATGTACCGTCTGACTCATACTTGCTAGATATCATAAACTGATGAAATCTTCCAATTTAGAATTTCCACATACAACGTCGGCTAGTCAAAATCATGCGTGTGCTTGCTGTAATGAACTTTTTTCTTCGATATCAAATTTGCCACCACGCCGCTGTTATTATTATGGGAATCTATATTGTTCTCGGTGTCATATTGCAGAATATGCATGTATACCAGCAAAGCTGATTAAAACATTCGATACGCGTCTTTATCCAGTATGTCGTCGAGCTAAATCGATCCTGCAAGTGAATATATATCAACCAGTCTTTGATATTCATCATGATAATGAAAGTTTATATACATCTGTGTCATTATTAGCGGATGTAAAAACAATTCGTATACAATTTCATCATTATTATGCATACTTATCGACATGTCCACGAATCGAAAATGAGTTTCAAGAGAAATTTTTCAAAGAATTCTATGCACGAGATTATCTTTACCAAAGTGTGCATCTGTATTCAGTCGATGACCTTCTGTCATTGAAAAAAATTCTACATATTCTAACAAACGCCAGTATCAAAGCACGGCAACATATCAATCATTGTGAAATATGTCGCGAGAAAGGTTTTACATGTGAAATATGTAAAAACCGAGCTGATATACTTTATCCATTTGACGAGGCGAAAAACATCGGTCGATGTGATCGATGCTCGAATTTATACCATCGACAATGTTGGCAACACATCGATCATGATTGTCCGAAATGTTATCGACTGGTTCAACGACAGTATTTACAAGAAATGGTATAAACAATGTTTAATGAGGGAGGAAATGAAGCAATCTTTCTGTTCGTGTATATGGAATCTCGTTTGTTTCATCTTTTTTTTGTACTTGCTTTGTATTATTTGTATACATTGACAACATGGTTCATGTACATCATTATCCAGTTCCTTTTAATCGATGTTTTTTTCATTAAATTTCGCAATATGAAAAACGTGTATAATTGTCTTTGAAATCATCAAAAGGATGTGACGATAACATAATAAAATTGAAATAGATAATATCAATAGAGATTTCTTTTAATACAATCATTTATACGCCATACTTTATCTTTTCCAGTCCCTCGATACCAACCAGTTATCATCATACTTCGTCTTTATTTTTGACTATTAATGACAAAGATATGATCGCCTACATACAAACAACACGACGAAAAACACAAAACAAATATTTTTATCGCTATTGCGCAGAACAAACATGACTATCGAGTAAAAATTCAACCAAATACAATGACTTCTATTATGGACTAGTGGGATTGCAAAATACTGAATGAACATCTGCATCCATCGTTCGACATCTTTGACTACAATATCTAGAAAAGTAGCGGAAACTCTTGATCATGTTTCAAATAAGCCGAGTTCTTCTTACTTGATTTTTCGACATTGAAGACAGTTAAACTGTTCACTGCTTAATAGTTGGGTACACGGTGCATGATGACATTCGTATAGACTAGATTCATGGCTTACTGAATTATGATAATCAACTTCATCCATATCGACAGGTAGATTAGAAACAATGTTCCAGTAGAAACTTGTAAGTGACGGAGACTTTAATGGTAAATAAATCATATTATTCGAAAGTAATAATAAATTTTCCAAGCGATTGTCCATGGTGATTCCATTTCGATGGCAAATGGTATAATTTTCGGAAACAAGATATTGATGAACATATTCCCTAGAAGAATTCGCATTCAATAGAAATAGATATGTTCATCAATGAATATTTCATGTACCATATCAGATTATGTAGAGCAATATCTTCAAATCCATCATTTGCCATGACGATCAACTGATGATTCACACATTTGATCTATTATTCATTGGAAATTTTAAAAAATGAATAAGAAATTCTCTTACTTTCAATTGGAAGATTTTTAGAAGAGGAATACAAAATGCATCGATCAGGCAATATTTTATCTACATATAAAACATTGATAAATTTTGATTCATTGAAACAATTTTCTGTTACTTTGCCAGCAAAAGATCCTAGTTTGATAACACTCGGTGTGTTGAATCGAACGTTGTCCATACTCAAATGTTTTTTTTTACTTAGATATAGACAAACAGATGCTGCTACTGCTTGGTACCATGAAGTTTAATCATCGAATGTGAGAACGAGAAAAAAAAGCGAGTCGCTCGATATTGCAGATAATAGAGGTCATTTCTTCCTTCTACTTTTTTTTCTTTCTCGTCCTACAGAACGTTAAAAAAAGATTGAACGAAGGTCAGACAGATGTGTTTGATGCTCTCTCTTATCATAAGATCAGACTCTTTTTTTCGTCTTCTTCTATGTATATATATATATATATCAAATCGTGGTCTGCACAACGTGAACATCTGCTTAGATAATTCCTCAACATAGAAGAAGCATGAGTAATCATGGGCGTAGTGCATATTCAAGGTAGATAAAACGGTCAAATTTGAAAAGTCATCGCAAGTTGATAACTGATGACCTATATGAAGATGTGAGTACTTCGTCAGAGAATTCTCATTGAATTTTACTAACGCCTTTCACTATCAAATTAGAACTCATGTTTACAACTGATAAGAGAATGTTGCATGTGTATGTAACAATAGATCAAGTCCAGTGGACTCTCACAAGTACAAACCGTAAATTCTTGCCCTTTCACGTACAAGTTTCTTCTTGAAGAAATTGTGACGCGAAGTGAGAATTTGTTTGTCGTGAATTCTGTTTATAACAATTTGATTCAAATGTTCGTACTATTTCGAAGCTGCTTTTCGGCATATCGTTTTACTAGAGGCATACATATTATAGTACATGTGTAGAATAGAAAGAGAACTACATAAACTACTTTTCTTTTGACTATTCAAATAAATGTGTGTATGATAGAAACAAACACAATTATTTACCTGTACGGGTCTTATAAATATTTATAATCTGAATTGTACATATAAAAGGGCCATGCTTGATTTATTGCAAGTCATATTTTTCTGTTTTCGTCATCATTACCGAGAATAAAAACAAACGAAAATATGAGAAAAAGTCCACGAAATTCGAAGTAGTAAATAATAACGATAAGTATGCAATCGCCATCGAATGTACGACGTAACTCTACAGCAAGTGAGAGAAAAAGTATCAACGAGAGCACAGACGATAGTCAACCGCCACCGCCATCATATCCGAGTGTTATTCATAAATTAGAAAACTTTCCATTACACAATTATAACGATCAACCACCTCCGCCAAGTTATGCAGATTTAAATAATCCATCAGTGATCTATATTAACAATTATCCTGGACCACCCTTAACTGACGGCGTCGTGCAGATCGTGACTTCGAATCAAACACCTTCAAATCAGCATGGGACAACAGACAATATACTATCAAAACGAATGCAAGTTTATTTATGGTTGAATGGAATCTTCACGATTATCTTTGGTATAAGCGCCATTGGTATCCAAATTGGATTAGTAGCTTCACATTCAATTGTCTATTACTATTATGGTTTTTGGGCAGGAATTTTAATCATCAGTATTGGTATCGGTACACTTTTATTCAATAATCGCTATCGTAGATATGAGACAACAAAATATTTTCGTTCATTCGTATGGCAAACAGCATTTATTGCCGTTGTATTCGGTTTTGGGATCATTATTATCCTAACAGATTCGTGCGATGGAGAACAATCAGAAAATGATGGTAATGATGATGCGTGTAAACGGTCGTATAAAGTACTTAATGGTTTACTGATCGCTGTTATTTCGATAGCATTCGTGCAATCGATTATAAACACAATTATTATTGCTGTTCTTAAACGGCGGTACATGACGAGTCAGAATGCAGCAATAGCAGCTTCTTGAAAAAAGAAGTTAATCGTTGAGCGTTTTTCACACCTTTTTGTTATATATTTATACATACAGATGTTAATTCAAGGTAGAAAATCAACACATAATTATCTTTTTTTAGCTTAAGTCCTTATCATGATAAACCTACGTGAATTGAGAACATAATGCAAATTATGTGCGAGAAAGTTTGTTTTCAATTATTAACGACAATATTTTTCACAACATACACTAATAGCATTACTACTCCTAACGCTGAGGTATTTTTACCTCTCCGGATTCTCTGAACCTTCTCGTCAATTGTTTTAGATATTGTAATACTTTACATGAAAAGCGTCAATCAAGTTTTGAACTTCAAAGTTCGATCTTGAAAGTGCCGATTCTCGGATAATTAATATTTTTAGGAGGAGGATGCCAAAACCGAGATTAATGCTTCCGGGAATGTTCTTAAAAAGCTCAAATGAAATTAGACATTATTTAATATACAAGAAACAAGAATATGCAAGTTGAGCTCTTTTCGAAGTTGGTTTCTCGCACGATTTAAATAGAAACCTTCTGGAAAAAATATTTGTAATCTCCTTACGCTTTAATTGTCTCACAAAGGATGAATGCATCATTTCTTATATCAAATTTTTTTTTATCTCAAAATCGGTTAGAAACGAACATAAAGTACCACTCACATACAAACAATTTACTCATTGTAAAGAACAATATCAACTCGATGATCTTTCAGATGTTCTTGGTTTTATTGAATGTAAATCGTTTGTCATGCGATTTACAAATGTTTTCCTTTCTTGAAGATGCTAATTAAAATACGTACATCATGGACTTGATTCGTTTAAGATACTGACAAGTTCACTTCTGATATTACATCGCATCTATTTTAAGTATCTTGGTATAGAATAGTATATCGATTTTGTCATTTTCTATCTGTTTATCCTTATTGAATGACGTAAAGCACTGTGATCGTCTTATTAGAAACAATGACAGATGTTCACAGCAGATGGTAACTTTGATAATAATTCCATTCAACTAGACATTGACAAAAACTATAGAGAAAAAAAGCAAATGACTCAATAGTAGATTTATCATCTATTTGAGAAATCTTTCGAGCATGAAAAACTATATATCAATGAGCCATTTTCATAATTTCTTGCATCTTGAAAACGTCGTCGAGATGTTTTTTTGGTCTACGTAAACTTACTTGTCAATGTTTAGTTCCAGTGACGTTTTTCTTTTTCTATGGTTACACTTCAAATGAATATTTATCTTTCTTCTCTTTGTTTTATTCGATAGTCAACATTCTTTTCAGCTAACAAATAGAAAATTGTTAGTCAAATGGAATTCTATCGTTGTTGAGTAATAAAAAAATTCAATTTGTTCTTCTGTTTCTATTCTGCTATCTACAAAAAACATAATTAACAGTACTAGTTACTTTCCTTTATTTCTTAGCGTTTTTTTTTATGTGCCTCTCAAGTTTTTTCTTAAAAGAAAAACTATTCTTTTCTGCTCCGTTTTTCTCTTTCAGTATGCAATATCTTTCATTATTTTATTTTGTTTTGCGTGAAATAGATTCTCGGTCATAATTATCGATAGACATTGCTTCAGTGCTCAAGGCAACATCAGTATGTCGGAAGAATCGTAAGTTTTATAATCTTATCTCGAGACAGTTTTCAAACGAAAGAAATCGTCTAATATTATTCTAGGATTAAAGTCGCCGTACGCGTTCGTCCATTTAACCAACGGTAAGAATAATCCGAGTTAAGTTACAATGAGATTCTCTTCATATTTATAGAGAAAAAGATCGCAATGCGAAACTAATTATTAAAATGCATGGACAATCGACTTTCATTACCGATCCGAGATCATCAGGTGAATGTTGCCTGTAGATTTCAAATTTAATCGTTTTGTGTTTGTTTTTAGAAGAAGAGCCAAAACAAGTGAGTACTAGAGTTGGAATTATGTGACATAAAAAAAACTTTCTTTTGAATACATTTCTCAGTTTTCTTTTGATTATTCGTATTGGTAAGCGGAGAAAGTTGTTGAGACAATTTGATGCGAAAGATTTTTTGTTACAGGTCGCATGACGGTTTCATCGAACTTCCTTCCGGAATACTCGAGTCGAAAGATAATTCTTCGGCATATGCTTCACAACAGAAGGTGTTCAATGATCTTGGTCGTGATGTCATTAAAAATGCATTTGACGGTGAGATACATAACAGTGCACGACGACACCGCATCTTTTTTTAAAAATTTTTCTCCTCAGGTTTTAACTGTTCATTGTTTGCATATGGCCAGACGGGGTCAGGCAAAAGTTATTCTATGGTCGGTTACGGTGTAAATCGGTAAACGCTCACTGTTAAATCGAAATTTTAGTAAATTCGATGTTTGTTCTAGTGGTATCATTCCTATTGCATGTGATGAATTGTTTCATCAGATACAGAGCACAAAAAGTTCGTCAGTTGTAAGTTCAGTTTGAATTGTTGTCGTGTAGGACTGTGCCTAAGTCGGCTTATTTGCCTGAAGACTTTGCTCAGTATTCAGACAGAAAAATCATTATTAACAGTCCTCTTGAACAAATGAGAACTGCTATTGTAAGATATTCTTGAAATGACATACTTTATAGAAGAAGTCAAAAGAAGAGAGTTCTTTTTTAGATAACAAAGCTAATTGTGAATTTTTAATTATAGCGTTATGAAGTCAGTCTATCAATGATGGAAATCTACAATGAACAAGTCCGCGATTTATTAACGCAAGACTTTCCGAAAGGAGGTCAATATTTTGTTTGATTATAACCGCTTAATTACAATAACTAAAAGATTCACTTTACATATAGGTCTCCCTGTTCGACAACATCCCACCTCGGGTAATTTCTATCCGCAAGGTCTTCGTATAGTTCCAGTAGGAAATTACACTGACATTGAGCGTCGAATTTCTGAAGGTACACAAAATCGAACGATTGCCGCAACTAATATGAATGCCACAAGTTCTCGAGCACATACAGTTGTGACAATCTATTTTGATCAATTCATTAATGGCACACACGGTGAAACAAAGAAGACTAGTGCTATCAATTTAGTCGATCTAGCTGGTAAAGAAAGATTTCAGTTGGACTTGTCATTCGATTATGTTCTTCTCTTTCAAGGTTCGGAACGAGCTGCAAGCACAGGTGCAACCGGTGATCGGTTGAAAGAAAGTACTAACATCAATAAGTCGCTATCGACATTGGGAAATGTCATATCGGCATTGGCTGACATATCATCAGGTTCGAAACGAAAAGTCGTTGTACCATATAGAGATTCGACATTAACAAAATTACTTCAAAATGCACTTGGCGGCAATAGCAAAACAGTGATGATTGCTGCCCTATCACCTGCCGATGTCAACTACGATGAGACACTAAGTACACTTCGTTTTGCTGATCGTGTTAAGCGTATTAAAAATACTGTTGTTGTCAATGAAAATCCTTTGGAGAAACTCATTCGTGAACTTAAGGTACATTTCTAATGACGAAAAGGCGGGACTGTTTCTGTTACTCAATTATTTTAAGGAAGAAAATGAACGTCTGAAGCTGCTAATTGATACAGGAAAATTCAATCTGCAATTAGATATTCAGCCCGGAATGTCAACTCAGGACATTGAAATCATGCGAAAAGATGTCGAAGAAGGAATTCTATCACAAATTCAAGTTAATCAACAACTTCTACAAGATTCTAAAACAACATGGGATCTCAAGGTAAATTATAATATATTCTAAAGTATAACACTAGAAACTAATCGAGCAAAAAAAAATAAGAAAAGGTCATAATGCATTCGAAGCACCTATTTCCAAATATGACCCTTCAATATAACAACCATGTTCTAAATCTTAACCCCTTTACCGTTAACGACGAGTATACTCGTCAGAGCAATTCTATGAAAAAGATGACTACTGTAATTCCTTAGCTCTGTTCTCTTTGTGTGCTGTGGGCCTACTCCAGCATCCTGCACCTACTCTAGCTAATTCTACGGATCCTGATATTTCATATAGACTATGTTCTTCGCTCTTGAAATTATGTAATAGGAAAAGAAAAGATCAATATCAGTTTATTGATTGGTATATAATTACGACATGTGCTATACAAAGATTTTTCGCTTTGCTATTGAAAATTAACTTTTGTTTTTCTATATGAACAATAAAATATATTTGTTCTCTAACGTCTTCTATTGTTATGCTTAATTATCTATGAATTAAGAAAAGATAAAGTGTAAAAATTTTACTAAATAGTCGAAAATAAACTTAACGGTGAAGGGGTTCATATACTTACACGACTAACTTTACTCCATAATTAAGACAACTAATTAGTAGTTAGAAGAAAAGACAGCTAGTAACATTACTGGATAATACAGCCCCCAGTTAGACTAATTAACCATTTGGATATTAATAACTCTAATTTGACGTAATAAAACCTGCTCACAAACTCGTTTAATAGGAATTCGATTGAATAACTTTCTTTAGTTGAAAGAAGCTCAATCAGATGATCAGAACACACTTCTCTTGGTCGATAAAAAACTACCATGTCTTGCTAATTTGAATGAAGATCCCATGTTATCCTATGTAATATGTCATTATCTAACAACGGATGAAATAACTATTGGAAATCGCAACGCCACAATATGTCTCAATGGTTTGAGCATTCTTGAACATCATGCCATCATTCGACAATTAGATGCAAATAATTATCAACTGATTCCAGCTGTACCAGGTGCGAAAATCAAAGTCAATGGATACAATTTAAATGGGTAAAATTATAACTTCTTCAGTTATGAAGAATTCGTTTTGTTGTTATTATGAAAAATTATTTAGATCCACGCAGTTGAAACACAAAGATCGTATTCTATTCGGTGCAAATCATGTGTATGTCTATTTAAATGTTTTGAATGAAACTCATGAATCAAAAGAGTTACCTACGGTGATCACGTGGGAATTCGCACAGAAAGAAATAGCGAAAGCCAAAGGTTACTCGTTGGGCAATAAT